ATAATTTAAAAATCCAACTAATTTTAAAGTGCACTTATTTCAGGTTTTTTTTACTCAAAATATCTAAGTTGCRATCCTAATAAAGTAGGTTTGATGTTTCTAGTTGCATCAAAAAGAAGCTTTAAAGCTCACTTTACCTCATTTAATGTGGGAAGCCCTACTTTGAATAAAAAAAAAAAGTTATTACTTAAACCCAAAATAATGTTTTGTGGAAAAAAAAACTATCAAAATAACTTTCAAAGCATGTTTATGGTTTTGAACTTCATTGTAGCTGTGGCTGCCCGATCTGTCCCAGAAGTAAGATCCGTACCATTTGTTTTTAGCATGTAGCATTTCGCTAGATTGATGACAAAATTCATTCGATTTCATTCCTTCATCACCTGCAATGTTTCATAGAAAAGGCAACGTTTGCAACAGATGTGGATTTTTATTTCAGGAAAAAACAAAAATGAAGATAAGATGAATTATAACATGATTGTCTAGAAAATATTTTGCAAGTTAATATAAATATGTACACATCATAAATCCATATTTTATTGATCGAACTGTATACATTATTAAAACTATTTTCAGAATATAATTTAACACACCTTTATATTTAAGTTTGCAACGATGATTTTCAGTATTTTTTTCCTAAATCGAGTGCATTCCAGAATCATTTAGCACAGAGATTCTTAACCTATGGGCCGCGGCCCACAATTGGGCCGTGAGCGCCACCTTGAGGGTCTCAAAAGAACAACAGTTTTTAACTTTGGGCCGCAGAGGGCCACGGGACTGCATTGATTTTGAATAAGGTGCAATACACTTTCTCACCACTAGTAGCAGTAGTGCGCCACTCAGTTGTTTAACAACTTTTTTAATATGTACAAGAAGAACATTAGATACCTGTCGAAAATGGAAACTTATTTTAAATTAAAAGTAGAAGGAAAAAATGAAGGCAGCCAGTCAAAAAAGGCCAAAGTTTGTCACTAATATGAAGTGCAGCCTCTGGTTCTACCATGCAATACTTTAACAGTTCTAAACATTGTCAAAAACAGTTGCAGATACAACTATATTTTAATTTGCAGTTTATCAAATTAATTTTTTTAGTTTGTTTTTAAATATTTTTATGTATTTTAAAGAAACTTTAAACTTGTCAAAAAG